ATTTTTTTCCGTTGGTTCCAATTTAATTAGAGGATAAACTCAATCATAGTTTACTAAATATAACTGCTCTTCGAATTAAATTCTTCTGTTAGTTCGAATTTAATTAGAAGATAATAAACATTAAACTTTGCAGCAGAAACTTAAACATAATTTGGAAATTTAACCCACAGGAAAAATTCTTTTGCTAATTTTCTTAAGCCATTAATCATTTTCCAGGAAATAAACATTTACTGGAAAAAGAAAAATAAAAAAACTGATTCATTCTTTACTGTATGCTCGGCCCAGCAGCAAAAACCGGCCAGGCCTGATCTGCTTGCGCGCGTGCTGTGCCTCCCAGGCTGCAACCTGGGCCTGGGCTGGCAAAGTCGTCCACCCGCTCGCGCCCGCTTGGGCCAGCCTCCAGTCTGTTGCTTCTGCGCCGTTCGATGGAGATCAATGGCTGAGCGCGCGTTTCGGATGAACAAAACCCAGTGACGGTGTCGTCACCCCCGAACCCTAAGTCATTTGCTCTCTCTCCCTTGCCTTCTTCTCCCAGCGTAGCCGAGCGGCAGTAGTGATCGAAGGTGCCCACGGCGGAGGAATGGCGCCGTCGTCGGCCCCCTCGCTGGCCGTCGAGCGGCTGGGCGGCGGTGCCCTAGCGTGGCGTGGAGCCATGCCCGGAGTACTTTGGTGAGTGGAGGCCGGCGAGGTAGGCCGCCTCCCAAGCCCTTCCCTTTTCCCCTTTCTTCTTCTCCCTGTTTGAATCTTCTTTTCTCTTCTTCCCGGAGCAAGTCCGATCTAGGGTTAGGGTTTGGGTCGAGTCGGGTTAGGGTTAGGGTTCGACGCGAAACCTCTGCTACTGTTTTTCTTCCCCGAATGGATCTACGCGGGTTAGGGTTCGGGTAAGAGTCGATTAGGGTTTGGCCGAACCCACTGCTACTCTTTTCTTCAGTTGTTCTTCCCCTTCTTTCTTTCTGTTAACCCACGTGCCCACGGCGGCTCGGGGTGGCTTCCTTCCCGCACGCCGTCGAAGCGGCGGCGTGGTCTTCTTCCCGCGTGATGGCGGTCTTCATCCTTAGAGTTAGGGTTTCGGTTCTAATTCTATTTCAATTTTCTACCCCGATCTACAATCTACACAGTAGGATAACCTGGCTCTGGTACCATTGATATAAAATAATACCTCTAAAACTTAGATCAGGGGATAAACTGCTCTTAGATGGGGAAACTGGTTCCTGTACCTCGCCCTAGTGTAGTTGCGTCCATGGCGCCGCAGCAATGTGGACGCCGGTGTCGTGGCAGCGTAGGCGCGGTGGAGTCCAGAATGCGGGGGGCTACCGGCGGCGCTTCCCGTCACTTGCAGCGGTACCCACGATCGGAGGGGATTCTAGGGTTCTTCGGTAGGGTCCAGTGGCGGCGTCAAACCTCGTGTCTAGCGCCCCGGCCCCCACCTCTCTCTTATAGAGCTGTGTGACAGGGGTCCGTCGACCAGTGGTCGGTTGTGTGTCCCCAATCAGGACACGATCAAGGGGTCCGACTCAGTCGTTGGACTGAGTCTGATGAGATCAATCCTAACATGTCCGTCACCATGGGCCTGTTTGGTTGCCCTGATGCAGCCGTCCTTGGTTCCTGTGATTCAGGTTCACGGTGCTTGGTCCCTGTACTCGTCCTTGAGCTTGTCCCTAGGCATGCAGCCAAGGCGCCGGAGCCTCACTCCTGAAAAACGGATTTGGACTCCGTTTTCTCCTAGCCCGCGTGAGAGAGCAGCGATGCAGGTACGAGCGCAGATCAAGCCAACCAAACACCTTCCCATTGCATCCAGGCTCAACCAAACAAGCATGCCTTCCATGGCTACAGCTTGGGTAACACTGGCCTGGTTGTCCAGATATGATGCAACCTAGCTGAGAAGAGAACCAAACAGGCCCCATATGCATGTCTTGTAGCAACAGGGTTGAAGTGCCCTATGCCTGCAACTGCAAGCTGAAACCAAGGAGGGGCGAGAGAACATGACGCTCCAGGCCGTATGTGCTCGGATCTTCTTGTGTTCTCGTGGCCGGGGGAGAGAGACAAAGAGAAAGAGCAAGAGCCAAAGAGGGACGCCACAGTGATGTTGGGCGTGTTTGATTTCCTGTATGTGGCCGGCTAGCCTGGCTATGGCCAGCCACAGTCCGGTCCAAATGGTACAAGTGATTATTACTTGCTCCTGCAGAGCCGAGCTCAGTTGAGAACTGTTGAGAATATGTGGACTAATCATATATGTTTCATTTATTTCCCAGAATTTTTCAAGCATGTGTTGTTCCAGGGTATTTATATTAGTCTTAGGATAATACTTTGGGATTATACAAACCCTAGAAATATAATAATACATGAACATTGCAAGGAAAATACAAATGCAATATAAAAAACTATCTAGAGAGACGTATTACAAGTTCTTCAGGATCTATGAGCAAAAACTATATATGACAAAAAAAATTAATTAAAAGCCATATAAATCATCCTACACGACATAAGTCCACAATTTGCCGTTCAGCGGCGAACTCTTGGGATACGACAATGATGGCTGCAACATCAACAAGGCTCGTAGCGGCCTATGCTCCATGGGCGTGGCAGGTACAGGAGCTTCAGGCCACGTGTACTATGATGCAGATGAGGCCACGTTCGCTTGCCGATGCACGTATTAACACCTTGCAGGCGTGCAGTTAGTCGAGCTCAGTAGCCACCGTTCAATGAAAATGTCATTAAGTCATTAATGCAGCAACATAGCAAGGGCCTGTAGGCAAATCGTCTCCTATCTTTTGTCATGCAAAATAAGCCCCGGAGGGTAGCCGTGATGACTGCAGGCCGCTAGCTTTATCCAGATAATGACTAAACCATGGTAGCCTCATCTTCACGATTATAAAATCATGACAAGCAAAACTAGAAAGCATTCTAGTGGCATGCGAGGGTCTAGTATGCTAGCAATAAAATAATCACTTGATTAAACAAGCTAGCAGAAAGAATTACTAGAGAACCGATCTACTATAGACTAATCTGCAGGATTAAACCAAGTAGATTAAAAACCGTGTATTCGTGAAGACATACCGGATGCTGGAATTGAAGGATTTCAAAGGCTGCCACGTCCTGTATCCACCATGCAAACACTATCGGACGGCATAGAAAAATAAACGCTTCATCTGTCCGGCAGCCTGACGCTCAGGTTCCTCCCGCCGCGCCGCCGCAGGACGAGTCGCCGCAGGCCGCTCGTGCCACACTGCAGCAGCACTGCTACCGCAGGACGTCGCCGCAGGGCTCTCTCACGCCTCCAGAAACATTGATAGATGAGAATCACATGCACGTGATCTATCTTATGTGCATGCATGTTGACGGCATCGTCCAAATACAGCGCGCGGCATCGATGTGGTGACTGATCTCGCACGGTGCATCACGCGTGCGTCGATTCACTCAGGGCAGATGACGCTCGGACGGAAGATATCAACTGGCGCACCAGTGACCGAACGGAAACGGGGAGATCAATTCATCAGTACTCAGTAGCCATGGCAAATACAAATTGATCTAAACACAACGATCAAGAACGACCCACCCAGTGGTAGAGCTGCTGATAACGTGTTGAGAATTGACCTATTCATGAATTGTTAGATCCGTTTTCGCATCTCCAATCTCAAGAAAGAGACATCCGTTTTTGCATCTCCAATCCCAACCAATCCCAAGAAAGAGACGTATAGAAGATGCAGATTCCGTTTCCCTTCCCGATCCTCAAGAACAGCACATCCCAATCCTCAAGAACAGCACACGGGAACGCATAGAACATAAGTATATGAGGGGAGTCATCTCTTCATTAGTCCTTTCACGTATATATCTGGTTCCTTTATATAGATGCGTAGCGTATATGATATGAGCCCATTAAGACATATATGGTATTAGTCCATCAATCCTCTAATTAAGAAATTTTTAACGAGAACGTGTCTGTTTGCGTGCACAGAAGAGTACGGTGACCCTGGACTCAGGATATGGTAACGTTACCCCAAAACACTGTCACTGCCATTTCATCGAACACATGCAGGGCATCGATGTCCAACAGCTGCACATCGCCGCTGCTCCCTTTCTCCGTGGTATACGCCCAGCATGCAAGGAGGACCTGCTCGCCGGCGGGTGACATGGGTGCTCCTGCTCGCGTCGTGCAGTGGGTGGTCCTCCTCGCCTCCCTGGCGCCGCAGCACCGGGCGTCCGTCGTCTTCCTCATGACGGCGTCGAAGGGACTCCTCCAAGGACGCGGCCATCCCGATGGGGGTTGCGGCGGCGACCACGAATGGCGTGCAGACGAAGACCCAGGCGTGCGCTGCTGTGCGGTGAGAAGTCGGAAACGGTGAGAGGTGACTCGAGCGTGGGCTTCGGCGCTGAAGCGAGCCGGGCCGGCAGGAAACGAAACTGGATTTCGTTTTCTAGGAGCCAGGAGAGAGAGCATGTGTTGCATCTGGCGAGCCGGGCTCGGTGGTACACCCAGGAAATCAAACACGGGCTGTTGCAGCCCACGGGCGCGGCCAGGCCTCGAGGGCAGAAATCAAACACGCCCAGCATCTGTTGTCGACGCTACAGGAAAAAGGACCAATCGCAGAGGCCCACACCAGCCGTGCTCATCAGCTCATGAGAGGTGAGCCACTACAAACGTGCGGCTGACAAGAGAGAAACCACCGCTACTTGAGACCAGTTCACCAAACATTACAAGCACCTAGATAAAAAAAACATTACAAGCACCTATGATTACAATGCAGAGTTCAAGTTGGTGAAGAGAGCCACACAATGCAGCTAAGTGTAAAGGGCTACTGAGCACAGAAATCCAATATTTTACAAGTTCAATAAAGAGCCGTATACATGAGGACTTCATAATTTCGGAAAACTGAGGACTTTATAATTTCGATGAATGTCAAGATCAAAGCATCCATATCTCAGCTAGAAATCCAGCAACGGCGGTACTATAATCCAGAGCTGCGGCTACCAGTACGCCTAAGAACATCTGGAGTGGAATTTCAGTATTGCCGCCTAGGTGGCTTCGACTCTGCTACCGTGACACGGATCTGTCTGCCATCCAAGTCCTGCAGGGCAATGATAAACCAATTCAGTACATCCTGAAAGAAGACTAGAGTACAAAGTTCAAAGGCTACGATGCAAGCAGCTAGGGTTAAAATGAGATTGAGAACTCACAGCGCCATCAAGGTTCGATATCGCATTCTCCACCTCTTCGGCAGAACCATACGTGACGAAACCAAAACCCCTTGACCTTCCACTCTCCCTGTCATATACAATCCTTGCTTCCAGGACCTCACCTTGCCCACTGAACAGGTTTGCCAGAGCTGAATTGTCAACACCCCAAGAAAGGTTACCCACGTAGACCCTGTTGGCATCACCCCTGGATACTCTTGGTGAGGATTGGTCCCTGGGGGGTGGTGGCCCAGAATTCACCCTCAAACTTCTTCCATCAAGTACCTATATTTTGAGAGACCTAGTCAGATAGATAATGAAATGAACAACATTTAAACATTCTGTAACAGAATATACTCAATCAACAAAACAGAATACATATGCTCTATCTGAAGCCTTAAGAGTAATTATTAATGTAACTTGATTTATGCAATGCAGGATCTGGTAGGAAACCATGAACATCACGAAATTCCTAGAGTATATTGGAAAGGTCACATTTCCAGGTAAATAAGCTATGTCATACATTAGGAGAATGGTCCATGACAGCAAAATATGTTAACAAAGAATGTGCACTGCTCTGGAAGAACCAAAGTGAACTCACATAGCCATTGAATTGCTCAACAGCTGCCTCAACTTCTTCGACCGAAGACATGGTCACAAACCCGAATCCACGGCTTCTTCCCGTCAATTTGTCATAGATGACCTGCAACAAAATGCAATGCTATCAATTGGCAAAAAACTGTAATATATCTTGTTCATGGGGGTGGCCTATTGAAAGAAGTTATGACCCAGCTAATTGTGTTCTCCACTGTAGTATTTGTATTGCCTATCGCAACAGTACGAATATTCTGTTTTTCAGAACTTTGGTAGTGCTCCCTCCATCCCATACAAATTGACGTTCCATGACTAAAAAAATGTCCTAAAAAACTTATGTTATAGCTCTTGAACAATAGATTTAGCCATATTATCAGCTTTTCCATTTAATGAGGAGCTTATTCGTTAATTTGCATGGTTCACTTTCAATTTCCGTTGAGCACCAATCTGTCCTAAAAAAATCTAGAACATCTAAGTTTTTTTTGGACTGAGGGAGTATCATTTATGAACACTAGGATTGCCAATATCATCGACGTCAGGTATAATAGGAAACAACCCCGAATGCGATCACTACGGCCTGCTGATTATCCAATGCAAGTAGAGACACACCTCGACCATCTCGACGGAGCCGGCCTGCTCGAAAAGTCCCGCGAGCTGGGCGCTGTCGACGCTGAAGGGAAGGTTGCCGACGAAGACCCTGAGATTCTCCGAGAACTCCTCCCCGCCCGGCTGCCCCTCCGCTTCGAGCTCCTCCGTCACGGCCGCGGCCGCGCGCGCACGGGCTCGAGCGGCCTGAAGCCCGCCGCCGCGGCGGAGAGCGCGTGGAGCTGCGGCAGCCCCGATGGGAAGGCGGCGGCGGACGGGGCAGCGGTGGTGGGCTTGGCGGAGAGGGAGAGGAACTGGGGCGAGAGGGAGGTGGAGAAGAGCGTGGCCGCCATGGGAAGGGCAGAGGTGGGTTCGATTTTGGGCTGATAGGGTTTTGGGGATAAGGTGAGTGAGGTCTGAGGAGGGAGAGCAACGGAGGAGACCCGGGGGTAGGAGAAGAGCAGAGCGTTGGGTAGGTTTATAGTGATGCGGGTTCGTTTCAGGCCCATTGTATTGCGCCTTGGGCCACAAAATACAGCAGGCCTTTTAGGTGGGCTGTGGACCAATCCCTAATATTTGCATTCCCTAGGTTAGGTAGTTTTGCCTCTATATCAATCTATCTATATACGTCTATATATATGGTATTAGTTTCAAAAAAATATACGTCTATATATGGTATTTGTTTAAGATTTTTGACATGGATGCAATACTACCATATTATTAAGTATTAGTAAAGATGCCCGTGCGTTGCAACGGAAGGAAAAATAATATCTCTATGCCAATAGACTTGATTCACTCAAATCCAGAGTACGTGTTTCTTTGCTATTCACAGCTATGTGGCACAGTAATATTAATTTTGTGTCACAATATTTATACTTTTTCTATAAAATATGTCAAATTTAAAATAGTTTTACTTAAGATAATTCTAAAATTTGATTTCATTTTGGGCGAAGTGAGTATAAGAAAGAGTCTTCTCTAAACAGTAGTAGTAGTAACTATAATAATAATAATACATGCACATTATTTTCCACTACATTGTTATGCTTTAGTGATTAAATTTCGACCGCAAGATCTGGTGATGGACAGCTAAGGATGTCCTCATGCATATATGTATTCAGATGGTATATTTGGATTTTTTTTGTAAAGAAAAACGACCGTATATTGCGTAGGCATGACGTCATGTTGACATCATCAAGCTAACAACGAATGCAATTGAGGAGCAAACCGATTCAGTCCACGTGCTAGCAACATTTTCTTTTTACCGGAGAGCGTCGTCCACGTGCTAGCGAAAACCGATTCGATCCGTGCACGATGCGTGGTTGTTTTGGTGTGGGCGGGAGATGCGGTGTGTGTGTGTTGGAGGGGGTGGGGGGCAGACCAATAAAAATGGTACAAAAAAGAGGATGAAATTTTACCTCTTTATTATGAGGTATACTAGGTAGCGTTTTCGTGCGTTACTACGGGATAACTAACAATTTATACTAAAAATATACACGGATCGCACGATAAAATAACAATACTGTAAAAATTAAATTACCAACGTTAAAGTGACATTTAATCCAGAAAACAAAGTTTATGAATTTAACACTGTGCAGCGTCGCAGGCTCATAAACTCTACTTTATAGACCTTTCCGTGATGCGGCTAAGATAATGTTTTATATTGACAGGAAGAAATCTTCGATATCCATTTCTTTACATTTTGTGAGCCTGCGACGCCGCGCACTCCGTGACTGTGTTAAATTCATAAATTTTGCTTTTTGGATTAAATGTCACTTTAACGTTGGTATTTAATTTAACAGTATTATTATCTTATCGTGCGATCCGTGTGTTTTTAAGTATAAATTGTTAGTTATCCCGTAGCAACGCACGGGCACGCTACCTGAAACAGCAAGCGAGGGTGATGAAACACGTGAGCGTCAAACCAAATAAAAGGAGAAAAAAGTTGTCCCTTTTGTAAATGTAAAGAGAGAAAGTAATTAAATGTAGACAGATTTGACAAGGTTCTCAGAAATACAAAGAGGTTTCTTTTGTCTTAATTCTTTTTCCTTCTGTGTTAATTCTCTTTCCTTTTGCTCGTTGCCATGTATGCTGGTGTATGCAAACATGCATTGTTTATATGGATAGCACAATAATTTTCTACTTTCTATTTTGCCGTGATTTCTCTATCACATGACATGCAATATTCAATCAAGGAGAATTATGCATGCGAGAGATGTCGTGGGATCGCAGGCATAGGCAGACGGACGAACAAAAACAAATGTCGCACCAAGAAATATCCACAATTTATTCTTTTTAGTTGCCGGAGATACTAGGTAGCGTGCCCGTGCGTTGCTACGGGATAACTAACAATTTATACTAAAAACACACGGATCACACGATAAGATAACAATACTGTGAAATTAAATACCCATATTAAAATGACATCAATCCAAAAAGCAAAGTTCGTAAAATTAACACGACCACGAACAGCACGGCGTTGCAAGCTTACCGACTCTACTATATAGACCTTTTCAAATTTTTGTTGACTCAGATAATTAACAAATTAGCAATGCCTCACCACATTTTTGTTGGCTATTCACTGTGTTTTTTAAGAAAACATGTAATAGAGAGACATTGTTGGGTTTTAACTTTTTTACATCATCACTGATCCAATTGAAGAGAGAGGACCATATTTTTTTAAAGAAAACTGAACTGATTGTCATTTTTCTATTTTTTGCCAGTAAAATTATCTGAGCTTTATATGTATAACATGAAAACTGAACTGCTTGCCATCTTTCTATTTTTACCAGTAAAATTATTTGAGCTTCATATTTATAACCTGGACTCAACATGGCCATGCCAAGACATAAAAAGTTACCTTAGTTACAAACTTACAATATCATTATATTAAGCTCAATAACATGGCAGCTGATTTGCTCTGCATCAAGCATCAGTGTATCAATGCCAACCATTAACTCATCCTCTAGAGTTTACAAATGTAAGCCATGACAATAAATTGCAACAATTCAGGGCAAGTTCAGTGAAAAATCCCTCTTTTCAAGGATTAACTTGAGTGAGAAATCATCATTCTTTTTCTTGCATGTCTACATCAGATTGTTCAAAAATAAACAAAGATCAATCCACATACATTTTGCAGTGCATAGATAACTTTGTGACCTGGCTTGGTATTGCTGTTACGGGAACACCAATTCAGCGAGCGAGGTCTAGAGGTGCAAATGCCTGATGCCAAATATCTGAATACCATCCAGTGTAATAAAAAAAATTAGCAAGCCAAAAATTCAGTGGCCATAAAAAAAGTTGATAAGAGAAAAGTATCTAATATATTTTACCAATAAAGTATCTAATATTGGTACACTAAGATCATGAATTGAGACTATTAGTAAATAAATAAGGCTCGAGCTACTTGAAACGAGATTGGTACAGACAAAGGGCTAACTATGCTAAAAAACAATGGCATCCAAATATGCAGGCACATAATATCAAAAAATAGATGATTAACTATATAACAAGAACGTCTGCAACATCATGAGCTATGGTTGTGTAACATCATGAATGGCGAGCGATGGAGGACGGGTGATGTCAATCGGTCTACATATGCGAAGACGACGGCTTGGGTGCACGACTTAGGTGGCATCGAGGTAGCGGCGTGGTAGCCGAGGACGACGGCTCGGGTGCATGGCTCGGGCGAACGGCAAGGACTACGGCGCGGACGTCGTGGAGGCGGCGGTGTTTCTAGGTGCACGATGCGGGCGAACGGCGAGGACGACGGCGCGACGTCGTGGAGGCGGCAGTGTGGCGCACGGGGAGGATGACGGTGCGGGCGCACAGACCAGACAATGGAACAGGTCATGGAGGGGAGATCGCACGGGGAGGTGATCTTGCGGTGACCTTGCGGCGATCAATGATGTAGCCACAGGTGCATCCACCGGTAGGCAGAAGGTGGATGATCCATTGCTGTTGCTTCTCCACTACACGACGAGGAAGAAGTAGGGGCGGCTCGATCGTGCAGGGGCTTGAGGAATGGGGTGCGCGACTATCGTCTCCGTGTAGCGGCCAGTGACGCGCTTGAGTCCTACCAAGAAGACGCGTTCAATCGTGCGGTGACGAGCGACGATGGTCTTCCGTGTTTGTAGCGCATGCAAATCAGGGTCAAGAATTTTATATTTGTGGCACGAGGATGGTATGATCGAGCGTGAGACGTGGGTGATCGCTTTCCTTGTTCGAGGCAATTAGGGTCAAGACTTTCCGTGTTTGTAGGGTCAAGACTTTCAGGGTCAAGACTTTCTATATTTGTAGCGCATGCAAATCAGGGTCAAGACTTTCCGTGTTTGTCGCAAGAGGGCGGTGCATGTGGGAGATGTCGTGGGATCGCAGGCGTGGGTAGAGACGGACGAACCAAAACAAATGTCGCACAAAAAAATATCCACACTTTGTTCTTTTTAGTTGTAGGAGATATAGAGGTATAGACTGGCAAGTAGCGAACTGATCATAGATCGGTTGGCTGGGTTTTTTATAGTGGAACCGACCCACTAGGGTTGAAATCCTCGACTTGGCACGGGTGCTCGTATTTTTCTGGGTTTATTCTAGGCTTTAACGGCGCTATGCTTCCAATGGTAGGAGACAACGAGGCGTCTGTGGTGACATCGTGAGTCTCGAGATTTGCTGGCTCAGTCCTTCAGAGGTGCTTATAGGGGTATGGTTTTATGTACGTGTGTTCATAGGAGTGAGTGTATACGTTGTGGCGCCTACATTATACTATGCAATTCTAAAAAATACTAGCAGGTAATGCCATGCAAAAGGTAGGATTTCTTGGCATGCAAAATCAATTAAACACTCCCTTATAAATCCAAGTACCTGCAAAATCAATTAAACACTGCCTTATAAATCCAAGTACCGAGTGCAAAAAAACTGATTTGTTACTTATCAGGTAATAACCAAGAGCGAAAAACAAAATGGAGAGGCCTTATAAATCCAAGTACCGAGTGCAAAAAAAAAAAAACCGATTTGTTACTTATCTGGTAATAACCAAGAGCGAAAAACAAAATGGAGAGGAAACATGCATGGGTAAACAGTAATGGAACAGTGTTGTGCAGTGTTGGCTACAGTTTAGCAAGACTTTATTTTTTTGTGCTTTGTGGAGTTGGTTCTGCATCACTTTGAGAATTTCCTAATTGTTTCTAAGAGGGTTAATATATCACGAGTTGGTACTTGTGACGCTGACAATTAGAAGATGGACACTTTCGGTTGAATTTGAGATATAGGACAAGTTCTTACAAAGAATTTTTAATTGGCCCCTATTCACTCCCTCCCCCCTCTAGTCACCGTCTAGGTCCTTCAATTTCATTTAAGTAAG